AAAGCTTGAACAGCTTCGCGATGGTCTCATTTAAATGGAGGTTTTCGTTTAAAGTACTGGGCAAAGCACGACCACGTTCACCTACAATGAGGAAAAATAAGCTATCCTTATGCTAATTAGCTACTCGTATAAGGAAAAAGCAGCGTACTGAAATTCGCATGACTTTCAAATTCGCATGCACCTTCATCAGTCTTTACTCCGGCTGATTTGTTCGGCCTATATTCCGGACTATCTATGTAAATTTTAAAATAAAATCCCACGGCTGATAAAATATTTCAAGAAATGACTATGTACGTTTTCTCCCAAGAAAAATATTTCGGCAAAACTGCAGTGAATTCTTAACATTACAAAGTATGAACAAGCGCATACAGCTAACAAACTACCTCAATCCCCTAGCTTTATGATGGAAAAAACGCATTTAATTGGCTGCGCAAAAGCCTTTCCTGCTGTGTGGGTTCGACTTCCACAGAGGCCGTGAATTTTTCACAATTGGGTCAATCGAATTTTATTCATGTATGAAGTCACTTGTAGCACTCCGCGGTATTTTTTAGCAACGAATTTCACCCTCCCGTCCGCCCAGCTACCGGCTTATTTTAAGTAAACCGTGATTACAATGCAGCTTACGCGTTTTCTTACGTTCTTGTTGCTATGCAGTTAAGCGCTAAGGCACACTAGTTTCAGAAATTCAAAACTAGTTTAAGGCATTTTGTCCAAAATAATCACACATAACACCCATAACGAACCGCTGCGTACAGTAACTCGGTTGCGCTTTCATGCAAATACAGTTCTGTAGGTTCTAGATGTATGGCTTCTTTAGTATAGCAGACACGTAGGTGCCATTGACGTTTAACTTTCCAGAACGAATGAAATCGTGAAAGTGAACGTCAATGAATTAATGTTGGTGCTTCGTTGCTTTCGGTTGTCTTCATGATAATTTCTTTGGTAGGCAGGAAAGACACGGGCTTTTTGATCTGAGGAAGCACTTCTTTATTCATCAGAGCTTTTGAACTCATTTAGGCGTTCATCGTCAGAAAGGATTATGTCTCTCGAAAAGCCTTCGCCTTACCTTCATACACATACATCTCGAATGCAAAAAATCGTCAAAATTTTCCTCTAGGCTCTTCTTCGAACTGCCTCCCCATTGTATGGAAACAATTTTGGATTAGGAATAACATGGAAACCGGCCGGGGAAGTACAATTTCGGCTATCTTATGTTATTATGACTGCCTGAGTAACGACGCCAACTATGCCGGAAATGGCTATTCCAGCCAGGCTTTCGCTGAAAATAATAATTTATGTTTAAGTGCTGCACATATTCTCATGTTTAACTTTCAGTTTATGCATTAAACATATGTTTTCAGCAATTCATCATCAGGCCAGTACAATTGCAGAGAGCAAGTCCGTCGTACACTAGCTGCTAATCCCTGTACTAGATTTCATTTTATATTTAGGGGGACAAAACTAGGAAAGTTGATGTATTGTCCTGTCCAGGGTCTCTTTCGGGATACCCTACGCTGGATAGATCCACCCCTTTGCATTCTTAGAAGGACATCAAAGAAGGCAATTTCATTAGCTGCTTTAGCCTCTGCTGAAAACCTCAGCGATGGATACGCACTGTTAAACTTTCTGACCGTGGCCTCGATGTCTGTGCTATATTCTGTCAGACAGAAGAGATCATCCACGTGTCGACCGTAAAATTCGAGGTCATTGATGCTCTCCTTTAGACTCGTTTTCTCAGTCTTGCCCATAAAATCATTTTCGAAAGACGGGCCAAGTGGTGAGCCCATCGCCACACCATCTACATGTCTGTAAAACCGGGCATTGCAGTGGAATTGCACATTTTGTGTGCTCCGCGTAAGTAGTTCTTTCAGGATTTTTAGGAACATACCTATGTGGTAGTTTGTGTCCCGGATAACGCCACAGAGGTGGTTTATTGTTTCTACTAGGGTTACGTTGGTAAAAAGGGATGATGCCCCCGATAAGAGTATCTTCCTTACATCAACATTTTTATTCTTTATAGCGTCGACAAAGTCAATGTGTCTGTCAAACCTTTAGGACATAGGTAACTTCCAAGCAGTTTCAGCTTTTCTACCATTCTTACATTCAAGATAGGACGCAGGGGTAGCCCTTTTTTGTATATTTTCGGGAGACCATACATTCTGGGTACCGTCGTGCCCACAGCTTTCCAGCTCTCTATCAGACAAAAGAGGTCATTGGAGGTCTTTAAGAATTTTAGTCAACTGACTCTCGACGGCCTCTGACCGATCTTCGTTATTCCCGGATTTTGAGAACTTTGTACGATCTGCCAAGATGACTTCTAGTTTTGCGACATAATCATTCTTATCCAGCAGTACTATCTCGGACCTTTTGTCCGGTTTAGTCAGCATGATCTTTCCACTTCGGCGAAGTTCCCGTAGGCTATCAAGATGGGGCTTTGTTTCTTAGAGCCCTTATTAAATACTGCCGGGAGCAGTTAGCCAAAGTCGACTTGAACTAATTAACTTCTCTAGGCTCGGTAGATTTTAGCTCAACAGTCTGGCTAAAGAGGCTCTCGAATTCGGTTTCTAACTTAAGACGCTTCGGCCTATTCCGTGCCATGCAGAACTAGGGGCCTAGAGATAGTACCTCTAAGAGAGTATTATCAGGACGTATTGAAAAATAGTTATGCACGTACCGCTCCGGGTTGTTTATGAGGGTGGTCGGCGCTTTTATTGGTTGGATAATTCGAAGGAGTTTGGTCCATCTCGCCTGGAGTCTTTTGTTTCTGAATTTTTGCACATAGTCTTCAAACGCCACTCTCTCGAGATTTTCAAGACGGTCGAGGACCGCTACTCTATCACGCAGGTTCCGCTGAAGATCCAGAATTCCGGCGTTAACCGTCTCAAGGTATCTTTCTGCATGTCGTCTTAGCGCGGCCGACAAAACGGCGATATGGGTTCTTCTTGAGGTTTTCCAGTAATGTATCGGATATTCACTCCGGTCCATACATCCCGAAAAGAATTTGGCTGTTAAGGTTGCTTCAGCAAGCCTGGTGTCAAGCTTCAGGAATGCGTTCAGTTCCTTTAACACCGAGGGATGTTTGGACTGCCTAAGTTCTGCGAATATTCCTATGTTTAACTTGGAAATTTTATTCGGCAAACACCTGTTTTCAGCAAGTCATAATCAGGCCAGTACAGTTACGGAGCTACTGGAAATCGTACAGTTGGACAGACTTAATAAGGGTCCTTTGATTACTACTCATCGTTTTAAGGCCACCCGCATGGCCAGATCAGCAGCCGAGGCAGTTGCTATCATCCATTGACGTAGGCCCTTTGAGGAGATGGCTGAAGACTGCGACCACAAGCGCTTTCATTGTGGTGGACTTACGCGTGTTTTTCACAACCTCTCTCCTCCTACGATTGGGAGGTCAAGACGGACTCCCGTTCAAGGTCCTATCCATGTGCATCTACTCTTTCACTTGCTCTTGTAACGTGGGATGCATTAGCTGAACATCGAGGCGCACGGAAAAAGGAGTGCGTGAATATATACCAGCATGGTTAAGTAAAGGTGAGACTTGATCCATCTCGAATTATATTCTCACACACCTTGTCGTACGAATCACCGAGATTGTCTACCAGACACCAGCCAACTTCTCCAAGGGCCTACGCCAACGGGTGCTAGCAACAGCCCAGGCAGTCGCTATACAGCTTGCGAATCCGGTGCTCTACTGTCAGAAGACGTTACCACAAACCTTTTCACTTACGTGGCCATTGTCGACGCCAGATGGTGATCGTATATTGCCCTACCCCTAGTGACAGTCATTCACTCCGCGCAAGTGACAGTATACTTCTATTGAACAAGTATTTTATGGAAGCAGTGGCGCAAGTTAACCGCTTCCCATTGTTTGCTTTGGAGGACCGGAATGGATTGGGTTAAATCCTAAAATCTTAGTCATTGGTTTGGACATATGGATAGGTCAAGCGAAGATGACGGTGAACCAGTCAATCCTGGTGCTCCAAAAAACACTAAACTGAATACTACGAGGTTATCTACAAGCATGATGCATTCAGGCTATCAGCACTGTGCTAAAAATAAAGGTTTCCGAACCATTTGCCCAATCCCAGTACCGGGGGACTGAATAGCTCGGATAGTTGACTGATACATGACAGAGAAGCGAAAATGAGGTTGACCCTGAAGGATCTATCCCTGTTGTACGTGCAGCGTATTACTAAATATAATATATATATAATGCGCTCGAATCTCTATCTTGACCCGCTGAACAGTGTGGCTTGGAAGTTTGCTAATCAAGGGGTTAAGTCGGACTTGTAAAAATGTCAAGCTGCCATGATTCCTTCTTGATTTAGCCTCTATAACATCTCCCATTAAGGGAATTTCGAGCCCACCTCGTAAAAGCATGGTAATGCTGCGCGGACCGGACCGTGTGCGACACTGAGGGTGAGCTTTTTCAGTTTTTTCCAGCTACTGCGACTGGGCTTATGTTCATCGCCTTGATACTGTCCTGCCATCGGATGAGAGGGAGTGTGTTCGATTATGCGTAAGTCTGTCTCATTGTGAAACAATTCACGATTAAGAAGTGGCTATTGTCAACATTCCGTTGGGTTTCACAGTTAACGTCATCCTTCGCATCGGTCCTTTGCATATTGTCAATTTCTAGTTGACTCCTGTGGGCAGAAGTGAGAAGTTGTATACTTATAATGTATCTGAAGATGAAAATATGTCCCATCATAATAAAGTCTTTATTTTCCAATATTGGAAACTTTCAGGTGTTTGTAACAGCCCACAACATCAGGAAAACGTGAAACACCATGCGCAGTTATCCGATAGGCATGACCAATGAAAAAGTGGAATGAAATAGTGCAGTTAAGCTGTAATCTGTGGTCTATTCTTCGTAATCTTATATTAAATACGCTGGAGAATTCCATCTTGATTAATTGTTGTGCCTTGCCAATCTAAAGTAAATAAATATTAAGTTGGTTTGGCAGATTTGCTTAATTTGAGTTGACCCAAGTGT